AGTATCCCATGTTTTAAGATCTCTTCAAGCTCTTAATTCTATGATTCCTTTCTAGGAATATTTTTATTTAAAAAAAAAACCAAACCTTTTGAATGCTTTTTTTATTTTTGGTGAGGCAATTGGTGTTAAGTGACTTTCCCAGATTCACACAGCTAGTAAATGTTATGTGTCTGAGGCCGGATTTGAACTCAGGTCCTCCTGACTCGAGGCCAGTGCTCTATCCATCTATACCTAGCTGCCCCCAGGAATGCTTTTCCTAAATGGATGAACCTTCATTGGTAGTGTTTCAAGCACTATATGATACCTGTGGAGGAGATATATTGGGGTTGGGAGGATTTTCAAGCGTCTCTGAAATCACACTAGGTAGACAACCACTTATTTTGTCTATGGATGTGGTCACATTTATCAGTTTACAATGCCCTCGTGTAGAAAGGATGGATGGAATCTAGGTAAAGATAGCTGTTGCCTGTAGAACAGACAACCTCCTTCGTATGTAACTTAAGAGGACTGGGACAATCTCTGCACCCTCTCGTCTGGTGCTTTTTCCACTGACTAACTGATGTCTGAATTTCCATCCTTAGATCATCATCCCTTTAATTACATTTGGAATGCAGTTACTCTCTGGTAAGGGCCACTTTAAGATGTTTTCTGTCATGAATGCCTCCACACAACGAACAGAACGCTGGATTAAAAACTTGCTGAGTGTCCCAGGTCAGATCTGGATGGACAGTGGGGTTAGCCTGTGACAGGAGATAGCTGACCTATTTCAATCTTGCTAAGCTTCTCCATAAAAATGCCCAGTTGCCTTCATGCCTGGAAAAGCTCATTCAGGGGGAAATTAATTTTTACGGCAACAGAGGTCATTTCAAGAGGAATTCAGAAGCTTTCTATATTTGGAAGCCTCTGTTGTTATTAGTTTCCAAAGAATCATCTATTCTCCAATTTAGCAGACCTAAGCTGAGTTATCCTGCTGACTTTCTGGGGCCAAGGGGATCACTGAGTCCCTGTTTTATTTTCTGGGCCATAGTTTTATTTCATTTACTGATTCAACAAATATGCATTCATCACCAACTATATATAAAACATTGTGCTCTGTTCTGTGGGAAGATGAAAGTCAGTAAGTAACAATTCCTGCCTTTTGGAACTTCTGTTTGAGTAGGGAGGACAAAGCATGTAAAACCATAAGAAGACAGATGAAATATGGAGACCTACAGAAGAGAGGTACAAAGTGCTATAAGAATAAGAATTCTATTTCTTTCTGTAGATACAATGTCTTACCCAGTAACTGGTCTAATTTGTATCTGCCTACATTTGCCCAAGTGAATAATGAGATGAGTGATACAGCCTTGAGAGTGGCCGTATTTATTACTGCCTCAGGTAGGTCTAGTTGTAGGATAGCATGGCTCAGTGGATAGAAGTGCTGGACTTGGAATCAGGTAGACATGGGTTCAAATCCCACTTCAGATGCTTATAAAGAGTTGAGCAAATTAGGCAAATCATTTAAGTTGTCTTAGCCTCATTTTCCTGTAAAATCTGTAAAATGGGGAGATACTCAACTGTAGTACTAACTTCATGAGAATCAAACAAGATACTGTATACAAAGCATTTGCAAACATTACGGTACATAGATGTCTGCTTTTAATATTCTTCTGCCTTGCTTTGAAGGCTCTCCAAAAATCTGGCTCTGTTCCACCTATCCAGTCTATTTGGATAACTATCTAGCTCTGCTCCTTCCAATCTAGTCAAGTCTCCTCTCCTCTGATCCACCAACAGAAATGGAACTTCTTTCTTCATAATGTTCTGTTCCCCTATTCTGAATACGTTCCTCAGACAATTGAAAGGAAGGAAGGAAAACAAGCATTTATTAAGTGCCTACTATGTGCCAGGCTGTGCTAAGCACCTTACAAATATTATCTCATTTGATCCTCACAACTATGAAGTAGATGCTATTCTTATCCCCATTTTACAGTTGGGGAAATTAAGGCAGTGACTTGCCCAGAGTCACACAGTTTGTAAATGGCCCAAGCCAGTTTTGGGGTGTTCCTGACTCCAGGCACAGTGCTGTATTCAATGCACCACCTAGCTGTCTCCTAATTTTACCTTTCTCTGAAGGTTCAGTGCCAACTCCACTTCCTCCAGGAAACCTTGCCCTCCCTCCTAAAAGTCAGAACTAATTTCTTCTGAACTTCCAGAGTGTTTCCTGTCCATACCACTCACAAGGCACAATGTACTGCTCTCCTTGGGTAGACAGTATAAATAACACTGGACCTAGGTTTGAATCTCAGCTTTGGCACTTACCAGTCATGTGGCCTTGGGAAAGTCACTTGGTCTCTGAGAGCATCAGTTTTCTCATCTGCAAAATGCGGTTATGCTACCTATGTCACAGGGTTGTTAGGAAAGTGCTTTGTAAACTAGAAAACACTACGGAATTACAAGCCATTATTATTACACGCTTTAGTTTCCCAACTTGATCATAAGCTCCTTTTGGGCAGCACTTTGTGTCATACTAAGCAGCACAATGGATAAAGCACTGAGCACAGAGTCAAGAAGACCTAAGTTCAAATCTAGCATCAGACACTTTACTAGCTGTGTGACCCTGGGTAAGTCACTTAACCTGTTTGTCTCAGTTCCCTCAATTGTAAAATGGGGATAATAATAGCACCTGCTTCCCAGGATTGTTGTAAGGATCAAATGAGGTAATATTTGCACAGTGCCTGGCACATAATTGGTGCTGCATAAATGGTTAATTCCCTCCCTATTAATTTTTGCATCTTCTATAGTACCTAGCACATTGTAGGTGCAATAAACTATTTTTTGAATGAATGAATTTCTATAATTCCCATTGATTCTGTCTTTGCTGTGGTCAACACTCTTACTGACAGAGAGAATGTGGAAAGAAGAGACAGTCCTTCTGGTTTCTTGTCAGTACATGTGAGGAAAGCAGGGTGATAGACCATTAGACTTTGAGTCAGGAAGATCTGAGTTCAAATCCCATCTCTCACGTTCACAGCTGTGTGATCGTGAATGAATCATTTAACCTATACTTACAAAACGAGGACGATAAATGGTGACGCAGTGGATAGAGCAGGAGGCCTGGAGTCAGGAAGACCTGAGTTCAAATTTGGCCTCAAGGAGCTTACTAGCTGTGTGACTCTAGGCAAGTCAATTAACTGTTTGCCTCAGTTTCCTCATCTGTAAAATGAGCTGAAGAAGGAAATGGCAAACCACTCCAGTATCTTTGCCAAGAAAACCCCAAATGGGGTCATGAAGAGTTGGGACATGACTGAAAAAAGACTGAATAACAAAATGAGGATGACTATTTCTACAGTTACCCATCTCTGTAAGGCTCAAATAAGATAGTGAATAGTGTTTTGTAAACTATACTGTAAAAAGCTTAGTTATTTAACAGTAACTGACTTTTGATTTAATAATATTAATAATAATACCATCTTTGGATAAAAGAGGGAAGGGACTGGTTCCTAGAACTCCTGGTTTCGTATCTTGGCTCTAACATTTGGCAGGCAGCTGGGTGATAGAGTGGATGGAGTGCTAGAACTGGAGTCAGGAGGCCCTGAGCTCACAAATCCTGCCTCAGGCACTTATCAGCTATGTGACCTTGGGTGAGCTACTTAGCCTGTCTTCCTCAGTTTCCTCATTTGTAAAATGGGAATAATAGCCTCTACCTCCCAGCATTGTTTTGAAGAAAAAATGAGTTAATATTTGTAAAATGCTCTCTAAACCTCAAAGCTTCGTGGAAACTATTAGCAATTAATTAATTAATTATTACTATTATTACTATTACTAGTTGAGCAACCACTGGCCTGAACCTCTGTTTCTACATTACATGAAATGGGGATAGTACATCATTGTAAGGAAAGTACTTTGCAAACCTTAAAGTACTATAGAAATGTGAGTTGTTATTGTGATTGCTATTATTCCAGCTGCGTTGACTTCCTTCCCCAGGAGGAGCCAGAGAGGTGTGGTTCTTCCAGGCCACATTACAACAATCTGCTCCCAGTCCTTCCCCTTTCCAAGGCACAGATCTCATATTCCTACAGAGAGGTATCAAGGGCCGTTCCCTGGACAGATCTGAAGAATGTTCCTCGCACACTTCCCCCTGATGCTCCCCAACGTTTCCCAAGAAGAACTTGGGAAATGAACTTCTTGTGCCTCAAAAAACTGTCATCTTTGGAAAACTCTGTGCTGCTTTTTCACACCTAGGATGGAAGAGCTAATTTTACCCCTGATCTTCATGACTGGGAAGGATTAGCAGGCAATGTCCTAGCTCGGGCAACTGGGCAGAAACCTCTGATTTTATTTTCCAAACTGAGTCCATTTCTCTAACTTTCAGTATCACTTGCCTAGGGTCAGACAGAACTCTGGTCCTCCTGACTCCAGGGCCAGTTCTCTATCCACTGTGCCACCTAACTGCCCACAGAGATGTTAAAAAACAACAGCAACAACAACAAAAATCCTTTGCTTGACTTCACCATCTCCTCAAGTTATCACTCCATATTTCTCCTCCCTTTTGCTGTCAAACTCCCAGAAAGTGTTGGCTATTCTCACTGCCCCCATACTCTCACCACTCCTTTGCCATCCAGGTCAATACTCCTTTGGCAAGGGGCAGCGAGGTGGCGCAGTGGATAGAGCACTGGCCCTGGAGTCAGGAGGACCTGAGTTCAAATTCGGCCTCAAACTAGCTGTGTGACCTGAGCAAGTCACTTAACCCTATTGCTTAGCAAAAGACAAACAAAAAAAGCACTTTCCTCACAACAGCCCTTTGAGGCTGGCAATATAAGTGTTAACTCAGGGAGCAGCTAGGTGGTGCAGCGGATAGAGCACTGGCCCTGGAGTCAGGAAGACCTGAGTTCAAATCCAACCTCTGACAGTTACTAGCTGTGTGATCCTGGGCAAGCGACTTAACCCCATTGCCTAGCCTCCCCCACCAAAAAAATTCTCCCTTGGCAACGCTCACGTGTCAATCATCAATCCCCACTCACCCCAGGTGTTTCCTTTTGCAGGATCTGAACTGCCTTGTCCTGATCCATGTCCAACTGCAGCCAGACCGGGCAGGTTGCAATGAGCTTCTCAAGAACACTAATTCCCCGGGGAAGGCGATTCCTCGAGGCAGCTGACCAAAGGGACTCAGTGTCTTCTTCCTCTTCTTCCTCTTCCTCATCTGTCTTCTCTCCTTTCTCTTCTCGTCCAATATCTGGAATAGGACTGAAGGGACAAAAGAAAGTGGTCATTGCATATGCAGACATCTCAACGGGGAATTGGTGATAAATTAATTATTTATAAAAAAAAAAGGATTAGAAATATCACTCCTGAGTTCTCAATGTTTTTCTGTAGCAGTGATTGTCTTTAATTCCTAAGTTCTCTAGCAAAGTTCACACAGCAGACACTGTTTCATTTTTATCTTTGTATTCTCAGAACATGCAACATGAGGTCATGGATAGAGAACTGGCCTTGGAGCCAGGAAGACATGAGGTCAAGTCCTGCCTCTCCAGGGATACTCTGGGTAGATATTTAACATCTGGTTTTCTGGGGGGAGAAAGTCCTCATGATATACTTTTAAGTGTAATCTGTGTTACTGACGTTTTCTCCATCACTTTCGCTAAGTCTGGACCGACTTTCAGACAAACTGGTACTTTTCTAACCAAATCCCTCCTGTACTCTGTTTGGGAAATTGATTTTTTGTACCCAAGTATAAGATTTTACATTTATTGCTAGAGATGTAATCCTGTTAGATCAGCACAATACTGTAGCCTGTCAAGATCCCCGTGGAATCTGACCTTGCCATCTAGGATGTTAACCCGTCCAGTTTGGTGTCATTTGAAAATTCAGTGAGGTCTGACCCACGTCAATCTTCAGAGTCCCTCTATTTTTTGTGGAATAAAATAGAAGCTCAGTAAGGTCAGAGACCATATTTTATCTAAACTTGTCGCTTCCCCACAGATGACTTCAGAGGAAAAAGTGAGGCTGGTGACTTTGCACAGCTCTCCCTCACTTAAATCCAATTACTTACATGACATGGCATCATCTCCCTGATGTCATGGTCCTCTTTCAGAACAAAGGACAACCAACAGCACAGCTTATACTTCACTTGGGAGGACTATAACGTCGATGTTTAATGTCAGTGAATGAACGACAGCACCTGAACATTGATATGTTTGTCTCATGCTGAAAGCAGAGAAGCAGTATTATAGCTAGCTAAAGAGTAATATCATCGTAGGGTCCTGGATTTCCTTATTTGGATGCTATGGTGGATGAAACAATACCCCAGGGGCTTACAGCACTCCACAAATAGATGTGAGAAGTAGAAAAAGGAAGATCCTAGACAATGTGAGTTATCAGTCCTGAGAACTTGCCACTTTTACCCTTCTCTCCTTCCCTTCAGCCCTCACTGAATCCTAAAACCATAAAATAATAGAGTCATAAATGACCTGAGGACATAGAATACAGCTAGGTGGCATAAGTGGATAGAGTGCTGATCCTGGAGCAAGGAAAACTGGAGTTCAAAATCTAGTCTCAGACATTCACTAATTGTGTGACCCGGGCAAGTCACTTCAACTCAGCCTCAGTTTCTCTACCTCTAACAATAGCACCCCAGATGTTTTTGTGAGGATCAAATGAAAAAATATTTTTAAAATGCTATGCAAACCTGAAAGCACTACATAAACTATTATCATCATTATTATTAATGTTGAGAATAAGACATAGAATATTAGAGCTTGAAGGGACTTTAGATGATGGAATGTCAAAACATAGAAGACTAAAATTAAAGACCTGGAAGGGCCTTGAGAATATAGAATGTTAAGAATTGGAAGGGCCCTTATGGACTATATTCTAACACAGGACTTCTTAAACTTTTTCCACTGGAGACCCCTTTTCCTGTTCTGGCTTAGTTAGTTGGTGTTGCATGGCCTGAGGGTATGCGCAGTGCAAAATGCACATGCTTTGTGTTCAGAACCACAGCTGCAGCGAAGTTACCCAATATAACACAGGCAAGTGCTGTTAGAAACATGTTGGATTAAGAAGCCCTAGACTCTAAATCATTCCTTTTACAATTAATAATTCACACTTATTTTTGTTTGCAAAGTGCTTTCTTCATAACAACTCCATGAGATAGGAAGCATGAGTATTATCACCTCCACTTTATAGATGATTATAGATTATCACCTCCATGTTATCAATGAGGAACCTGAGTCCCAGAGAAGGAAAAAGACTTGCCTATCTATGGTCACACAGCTAGTCTTTCAGAATAGCTGGGACAAACCTCGTGCAGAATTTTCAGATCAATGATTTCAGAATTCACAGGATCCTTTGGACAGTCAGTGAATAAATATGTATTTAAGCTACTACTATGTGACAGGCAGGGCAGCTAGGTGGTATAGTGGATAGAGGGCACTGGGCCTGGAGTCAGGAAGATCTGAGTTAAAATCTGGCCTCAGACACTTACTAGCTGTGTGACTCTGGGCAAGTCCCTTAACCCCTATTTGCCTTAGTTCCTTATCTGTAAAATGGGGACATTCTAGAGAAGGAAACGGTAAATCACTCCAATATCTTTGCCAAGAAAATCCTATGGACAAGTTCATGGGGTTGTTGAGGTTTAGATGCTAGGGGTGCTAGGACCCCAAAATCACAACACATGGGTCCTGCCTGAAAGAATTTGACTTTAGCCTTCTTGCAGCCAAAGACAAGGTTTATTAAAGATGAGCCATATATGCCAGATTCTTAAGGAATGTGAATATTTCTGACACTGGTAGGGATGAGCGGGCATGAGGAAGTCTCAGCCACTAAATGGCGGCCAGGATCTTATATACAGAAAGACTATAGGAGGGATCTAGGAGTGGTCAAGTAGTTTGGGGTGACTGGAGGAGGGGTTGGGAGAAGGGGTGTCTTGATGGGAGTGGACAGTAAACTGAGGTGACTGGAGGATCTAGGGAGGATCTGGAAGGGAGTGATTGAGACAATGGAGGGCTAGGCGAATTAAGGTAACAAAAAATTGGGAGACTGGGCTATAAGAAAAGACCAGTTGAGTAGATTAAGCCTCAAGCAACCGCTAGAGACTTCCTTGACCAAATAAGTGAGTTCAAGGAAAGTTCAAGGGTTTTCTGGGGTCCGTAGACAAATAGGACCCAAATTCTTTTTGGGGTAAAGGTCAAAGGTCTTGGCTTGGGACCATACCCCATCAGGGTCATGAACAGTCAGAAATTACTGAATGACTGAACAATAATAACAAATGTGTCAAGTACTGTGCTAAGCACCTGACATACAAAGAAAGGCCAAAGCCAGGTCCTGCTCTCAGTGGCAGAGACATTTCAGACCAATAAGATGTTAAAACAAGTTAGTCTATTATTAATTTTTTTTTTACTATTACCTTGATTTCCCAAAATATTCCTCTTCTCTTTCTCACCTAGACAGTATCAGGATTGTTGTTATTATTCAGTCTTTGGTTGTATCTGACTTTTTTTTTTTTCTGAGGCAATCAGGGTTAAGTGACTTGCCCAGGGTCACACAGCCAGTAAGTGTTATGTGTCTGAGATCAGATTTGAACTCAGGTCCTCCTGACTCCAAGGCCAGAGCTCTATCCACTGCGCCACCTAGCTGTCCCTGTGTTTGACTTTTCATAACCCCATGGACACAGTACATAGAATTTTCTGGGCAAAAATACTGGAATGGTTTGCCATTTCCTTTTCCAGTGTGTACCCATTTTACAGATGAGAAACTGAGGCAAATAGGGGTCAAAGGACTTTCCCAGAGTCACACAGCTAGTAAGTGTCTGAGCCTGGGTTTGAACTCAGATCTTCCCCACTCCTGGCCCAGTGCTCTATCCGTTGTACCACCTAGCTGCCCCTTCTAATAAATAGCTCCAAGTCTCATTAATTAATCCTTATTTTTTGAATAATGTGTTACCTAGATTACCTCTGATTACAGTAACAACCTTCTCCTATAGGGATTATTATTTCCATTTTGTAGATAAGGAAAATGAGGCTTAGAGAGATTGTTACTTGTGTAAAGTCACACAGTAAGGACCTGCCAGAGCAGAAACCCAAATTTTCTGAATCTTTTCCCACAATGCCACCTTTCTAATTACAACAGCCTCCTCTCAGAAGCTAGTTTAATCATTGTATTAACATTGTTTTGTACACAAGTAGTTTCCTTACTTCCTTAGAAACTTAAAAACAAGTGCTCCCATCCAGGAAAGACTTGATGTTTATCTTGTTCCAGCTTGGCCCCAGGGATACTCTCTCCCCCACAGGGCATGGGGGCCATTGCCCCACAGCCCAGGATTAACCTGTACTTTTATGCCTTTGGAAGTGAATCTGTGCCAAGTGACCTGACCTCACAGGCTTTTTGCCCAGGCTGCCTTGTCAGGACTGAGAGCACCTTTTCTTTTATAACAAAAGAAACCAGTGTCAGAGAATATGATTCCACTCTTGCTCCAAATGCATCTTCAGTTCTCTGAAGAGACTATGGGAAGGGAACAGCAGTGGAAACAGTGTTGAATAATGGAAAGAACACTAGGTTGGAGTCAGGAGACCTAGGTTCTAGTTCTAGTCCTGCTGTTTTCCTATATATATGACCTTAAGCAAAACTCATTCCTTTTAGGGGCCTCTCAGATCTCCTCCGTAAAAAGTAGGGGTTGGATTAGAGCTGGATTCTGTATCACTGTAATTCTACTAAGCCTACCTAGGGAGTGCTGTCACAGGCTTTCTTGTCTGGCTCAACTGGCAGCCTTCCTCATCTGCCTGGACCAATGGAAGGATGATACTAATGTGTTAACATAGTGTGGTATAACCTTTCAGACAAGCTGACCACAGAGACCCATGCTTGACTATGTGGGAACCACACACGCATATCTGAACCTCCAACTCCACAGGAGGCCAGGGATACATGGAAAGGCAGGACCCAAGACTGAGTTGATGTGGTTGCTTACAACTTCAGGGCTTCTACTACATTTCCTAAGAACTGCCTTAGTTTTTCCTATAAGCTGGGCTGCTTTCCCCTGTGACTAAGGCAGGGAATAACTTATGGACATAGACCTCAGATGACTGGAAAGCACTTTTCACATGTCAAGTTCATCTAGCCCTTACAACAAACCCATAAGGTAGGCAAATCAGGTACTAGTAGACCCATTCTATAGAGGAGGAAAATGAGGCTCAGGGCAGTTAAGTGACTTGCCTGAGGTCCCAAGAGTAGATAGTAGTAGAGACAGG